TTTGTATGGATGACGTTCAATGACGTGGAAAAATGAGAGAGGAATATTCGGATATTACTCGACTACTTCGCCTAATCTTTGAGTGGTCCCAGGAGCTGATGTTAAACTTCTAGCCTTGTTATTGTGAAAACCACGCCCCAGCCGAACTTGGAAGTAGCTTTGATAAATTTCTGATGATCCGTTACATGAAGAGTTGCGAGATTTAATCACACAGATTTACTGAAATATTTCTGACCTCGACTTGATTGCGTTCGCATCTGAATCGAATACGATTAAATCGATGTGTTTCGCTATAAGTCTACGGGGAATCTGATGCTTCAACCGAAACGTCTTGGTGAATTTGTTCTTTTCTAGCCTCGTTACTCGCAGTTGTATTTGTAAAAATGTATGTCGTGTTGCGGCCTGCTAAGTTTTCAACATATCTCATTTAAAAAGAAATGAAAAGGCTTAGTTGATTTATAAGGAAAACTATTTAAACAATTGGATCTCTTCTGAAAACAATCGTAATGAAAGGGTGATACCACTGATACCCCCAGATTGTCTTCCTCCGTGAAAACAAAATGACAACATCGGAATGAATCCCTGTATGGATTTCATTCGACCTCTACTATACTGCCGTGCTAAGTAAAAACGCCGTATGGACATTCAAATGTTGCTAAACTTCCTCTTAGAAAATATGAAATTTAGAAAAAAGTTGTGAATTTTTTTCCTCGAAATTTTCAGAGGCTTTAGATAAAAATTACAAACAAAATTCTCTGAAAAATCGGAGGAGAAATATTCACAAATTTTCCTCAAAATTCCAGCTTTGCGAAGGCGATTTGGCAACACCCGATGGCTCATACGACGTTCTCCATAGGCCCGGCCGTATACAAACGAGCTCTCGCACGAAATGCCGGGCTTTGTTCTAAGGCACTCTGAAAGAGCCGTCGTCAAACTTTTGGAAAACAGACTCGACAGAGAGTGGAAGAAAGAGCCAGTTTCTCCCTCATCATTCCCATTGAAATGATCTTCGGATTTCAAAAAGACCACTTTCGCTGCGGGTCCGTTGGCGGATCCTCGCAGAGGGATCTTCCGGGAAGAGTACACAAAACCTAGGAGCGGCGTCCCTAATTTGAATTTTCCGATTTGCGGGCCTTTTCCATCGTTCCAGGTAACCGAACCGCGCAAACGGTCAACCGTCGCGGCGGCGTCTCTTGTTTGTTGCTGAAATCGCGGTGTCTTTTCAACGTTTTCGGCGCGCTCAATGCCTTTTGAAAACACAGTTGAGATCAAAAGATTTCGTGCAGATCTCAGCAACTGATTTATGCTGGTGCTAAAAGGCACTCGCGGATCTCTTGAAACTAATTATGAATGTGTGTTTAAGGTTGGCGGCATACATCTGAAAATGTTCCCACGTTTGTTTTGCCCATCAGATTGGCGACAGTCTACTGTCAGGACAAATGTCGCGTAAAAATTTAAAAATGTGCCCGGGTTGGACGTATTCGTGCTAAAAGGAACTATAATGCACGCAAACCCTTTTCAAAAAGCACCCTTTAGCATGAACCCGTCCAATCTCCAAAGAGAAGATTGCTAATTTCTTAAGAGTATTTCAATTTTCCGTGGAATAATCCCCTTTGATGCGAAAACGTAGGGAATTATTGATTGAACTTGAACAAAGCGTTTTGTTCGGTCGCATTTTCTGCCAGTAAGAAGCCCCTTCAGTCTGATGTACAGGCAATCCGCAAACTTTTCGTCCATCCAACTTCAAGCTTCCATCTTTGCACGGCCCCTGTTTTACTGTAATTAAAAAATGTAGATATGTGAAGCAGGTATCATATTGAGTGACGTTCCATTTCACAATAACACGATTTTCTTTCTTTTTTTTCTTTCTACATTTTTTTACGTTTATCTCTCACGTTAATAGAACTTTTTAACTTTTTTCAAAGCAAAAAAGCAGTGCAAAATTTTGAAAATGCTGCAATCCGTTGGTTCTCTTCCGCTGAATAGTGAATTGGAGCCAATCTGAATGCCGAATGATCAAAAATTACGTCTCAAACGAACTTTGTGTATGATTTCATACTTTCATCAGTTTTTCCCCCGTTCTCTCATACAATCGTGGAACGTAGATCGTAATTTTTACAACACAAAATAATTGAGTGATGAACTGCCACGTGGCCTAATCCGTGATGTGTGCTCTGTTAGCTGCCATGCCGAGGAAAACGCCGTATGAACATTCAACATGTCGCCAAGTTTCACCCTAAAAGTATTCATAACTGAGAAGATTATACATGTTTTTCTGGAAATTTACTGATCCAAAATTAAACGTTGAATGAAATCCTCTGTGAACTTGGGCGGAAAAATTTTCAAAAGATTTCAAACAAGTGCGTACCGTTTCAAAAGAAATTTTGAACGTTCAAGTTCTTTCTTTTGAGGAAAATAAAACATGAGTGGAAATTTGTAGCGTTGCGTTAGAGGATACGAATTTTCCGACTTTAGTCATGAATTTGCAGAAAAGTGACCTCTTAATTTGTTTTGAATAATGGGATCCTGAATTACCTATTTCCACCCCAAGTTCAACTTTCTCATTGCGAGCTTTACCACGCAAATGGAACCAACAGCCTTAGCAGGACATCGCAACTTGGTAACCTGATTGGGTGTTAATTATGATATCATGATTTAATACGGCCATATTTCACTTAAATACGGAATGACCAGTCTGCTGAAAAGTTCTCTCTAAGACAGAGGGATTCTACGAAGTTTAGGCTTCATAAACAGTTTTAGCCCTTGTAATGTGCAATAATCAGCAAGTAAAATACGGGGTCAAAGATCGTTGACTTGAATCGTACTCACCATTCACTATTGGTTTTTAATCATTGCTGTTGTTTCATCTACTGGAGTAGAATTACCCGAGATTTTTCCAGCGTTTTTGCTGCCTTTTCAGTGCACTCATAATTCATAAAATTTAAGTCATGTTTAAAAACTCCCGAAAATGTAAGTAATTTTATGGTGGCCGTCAGGTGTTTTAAGGTGGCAGAATTTTATTCTGTCATTTGAAAAATATGTGTCTTTATTGCAGAGTTTCAAAATTTCCGCTCAAATTTTATTTTTTTAAAAAAAAAACTAACAACAATATCTAAAAGAATTTCCCGTGAAATTAAATTAAAGGGTACCGAGAATTCAAATACAATTTAAAGAAAAACAGTTGGTTACTTTTTTTTATAACGGAAAGATGATGGAGATTTGAAACATTGCAATGGGAGATAAGCACTTACCAACTTCGCCTAATTGCATGAATTATGAATCTGGTATCGATGGTAGTTCACTTACCTCTGAAAGTCTGGTGCATCATCGTCAGCATGCCACTCGATACGATGAATGTGTCTCGCCGTATGAATCGCCTTCAATTTGCCTTGATGCAATACGTTACCTACGAGTTAAAACAGTTGCCTACCTGAATAATATTGATCGACATGTTAAGGAAATATTAGGCATAGGCAATCGAGTTCCCGTCTTTCCCCTGATGAGATATTTATTTTTTATTGTTGTCGTGAATATTTTTCCTTGAAATTTTTGGATACTGCGGATTGAAGTGCACCCTGAAAAAGAACTTGATTTAACATTCTGGATGTAAAAAGAGTGTGCGAGAACTTTCAAAATGCTAAATTAATCGTTGCAGCAGTTACATTAGCAACGTCAAGATGTAGAACTAACTGCTGTAGCGGGTAATTCAGCATTTTATGAGTATTCGCACACTTGTTCTACATCCAGATTCAATTATTTCAATCAACTTCATTTTTTTTTCGGTGCAAATAAAATTCTCTAAAAAACTAATAAAAAAATATTCACGAGTTTCCCAGAGAATTCGTGTTTTATCAAAGAAAATTTGGTAATGTCTGAAGATTTATACGGCGTTCCCTCTTGACTTAGCAGAATAGCAGTCTTCTATTCAGAAGTCGGAAGGTAGATAGAGAAAAGTATTTTATCATGTTACTACACCATGCTTAGTGACGTTAAGGGGTCGCAACTTTCATTTTACCCGCATGGCCTACCGGCTCTACTTGATTCCTTCGACTTTCCAAAGGAACGCAAAGAAAGGTATGTACAAAAATACAGAGGTTAGAGGCAAACGTTGATATTTCTTATTTCTGATGCAATTCTCGCCGAAATGTGGAAGTGTAGAACCCCGTTGAAAGCACATGAACACCTGGGAAACATTCTAATGGAAAAAAGCATCATATACTGCAGACATGCAGATGGTCTACCATCGTGGAATATTAATTGATAATAAAATCCAGTTTCAAATACTTTTTTTTAGGAACAAGTGGATTGCATTTTTCAAAAAGGAACCAAGAGCGTGTTGTCAAGATTGTGCTGTTTAAATTCTCTGCAGTTAAATTATACTGAGATCGCGCACAAAATTAAATGTACAAAGGTAATTTTTCTCTTGAAATTTTAGTTTATTGAGAGTCAAGATAAAACTTGCTTAGATGATCGGTTTATATTTACAGGATAAAAAAGTTGCACGATCTTAGCGACATTGGAATACTCGTAGTTCCTTTTTGCAAAATGTAATAGAACAAGAAGGTGTTATTTTGATCTCAAAGGTCGATTTAGAAAATATACTCATTTCCACTTTGACACACCCTTTACAGCATTGAATTTCAATATTTCGATAAGTTTTTGGCACAGGATAGCAGGAATCCTATTGAAACGATCAAAAGAAGGGAATTTTAGAATTTGAGCAACCAGGGTTCAAAACGAGATCGCGGCCTGCTCTCAGTCTCAGAGGAGGCCATCAATTTCAATTCGGCACCCCCCGTGCCCTATCCCTGTCCCTGTGGGGCGCGTGGGCCCTGAACCGGGTCCTCGCGGAGGTGACGCAATTCCCCCGTGTGACGCGACGCTATGAACTTTCGCGATCCCTCGGCTGATCTCGGCTCCGAGCCGAACTCGCCCGAACCCGAAAGCTCGGCGAAAGTTCCACGGCTCCTCGGTCCCTTCAGTCCCTTTCTCTGCTCAGACCGGGCCTCTCGTGTCGCGGGCGCCGCCATCGGCCCTTTTCGAAACGTACGTGTTCCCGTAGTGACCGGTGTATCCCTTTCCTTGCGTCGGTTTATTTTTTTGTGGCCCTAGTTTCTCCCGATTTGGTCGAAGTCGTCCCCCACCTCTATCCCTCGGGATAGATTTTTTTAAATCGATTTTTTTGGGTGTCCTGGACTTTTTAAGGTGAGACCGGCGAAGGGATTTATGCTATCATCGGAAACCGGTAAATGCTTACTCAGATCAATTTTATTTTTTCGATGTCGCACAGTGGAAAGGGCTAATAGAAGAGGTTGGACACGGTTTTTTCGACTAAAATTTCAAATTTTGATCTTTATGTAGTCCCAAATTCAATATCAAGGGGTGTCTCTGAGAGGAAATTTCACGAAAAACTCTAAGAAACCACTCTTGAACTTTTTTGTTTCATATTTTCGAAAATGTAAGCTTTCAAAGTTTCGAATTTTTTCGCGACTTCTCCAATGGACTCGTTCCATTGTGTTCGTAAGCTATTGGTCGAATAGGTATTTAGTCAAATTCCTTGACGCCTGACGGATAATTAACTTTTGAAGGCTTACCAAGTTTTGTATGTTCTTGGCGGAGATATGTTGAGTGTATCAGTATCCCTAAAAAACAATTGGAAAAACAAGTATATTTTGAAGACGTGCTGTTTTGCATGTTTTTGACTACAGAATTATCAGTGTATCAGCGTTTTGAAAGGAAGAAATTGATCAAAATATAATTTCTCTTAAATTTTTACTGTCAAATTTTCAAATAATGCATACCTATTGAAGGAAGCATCAAATTTTTTTAGACAAACTTGGTGCTATGATCTCCGAAAACAATTATAAATTAATAAAAAAAATTTCAAATGGTTTTTATCAGCATATTCGGAACGTATGCGCATCAAAAAAAGGAAAAACCTCAGAATTATAATCTGAGATAGGATTTGTGACAATACGCTCACAGGTATTTGACTACAAGCCCGTGACACAATATGCATAAGGCAGATTTGGACAGATTTGGATTTGGATTCTCACTAAATGAAACCAAGTTTTTAGGAAAACAAGCGGTCTATAATTGTTTAAAAAAATTCCTTTTAATTCCGTGAAGGTAAATTGCGTTCCAAAATGTATATAAATAAACTGCGGTTGCTATACTCGTTGTATTACATCATCAACACGTTTGAATCTTGAATAACTTGGTCCCCTTCTTTTTATTACAATTAGAACATAAGTAATGGAAAAAACCAAGAATCCGGCACTGGGAACCAAGTTTTTTTTTTTTGGGGGGGGGGGGGGAAATGCAGGGTCTGCTCACCAGAAAGTTTCCCTTTTCAGTAATCATCAGGAGAAGATTTTGTTCAGCTTACAGAAAATCAATCCACAGAAAAGTTTTAACTGCTTCGTGATGATTACAGAGTTCTTGCAAGCAACTAATGGGTACAGTCTTTGTTTCCAAAAAATTTCCTCACTGTTAAACTGGATTCATTCGGACGTTTGCATACATGATTAAAGGAACTTCGTAAAAATGAATTCAATCAAAAGGAACTATGATACTCGCAAATCGTATGCATATAGTTACTTTTGATTTAATTCATTTTCACACTTTCCTTTTGGAGTTAATGGTAATTTTTTGCTACATTTTAATCCTCATAATAAGGAATTTTGCTGTATGGTCTCGGAGAAATATAATTTCTGAGATATACCAGTGGATAAAATAATGAAAACCATACACCACTCAAAAGAAGAATACGACAAGAAAACTGCGCCACTTAACGACCCAGATGGTCACAAGTGACGAGATATTTTTCATCATTTAGTTGGGCAACTATTTTCGCTCGTGGGTAACGTCTTGCGTCGCGTAAAAATGAAGGCGATTCATAAGGTATGAAACGTTCAGAGACACTCTGAACTCGTCCTCTGGGGATACTCATTTTCATTCAGTCTTAAGTTACGACTTACGAGGCGACTGGCATTCCAAACACTAACACGTATCATTCAGATGTATTCTGCCGTGCTAGGGAAAAACGACGCATGAACATTCGAGAGTTGCCAAATTTCCTCTCAGAAAATAGTTATTTTTGAAGAAAGTTATGAATATTTGTCATGTAAATTTTCAGGAACTTTAGGTGAAATTGCGGACAAAATTATCTGAGAAATTGGCAGAAAAAGATTAAAAAATTTTCCTGAAAAGTAGTGATTTGCCTGAGGAAATTTGGCAACGCCTTATGGTTCATAAGCCGTTTTCCCTTAGCACGGCAGTATTCAAACCCATATACAGCATTCTTTGGTAATTTATCGTCTCGCAGTTTATTAAAACCGTTGTTTTAGCAGTGGCGTAGCGACAAATTCCGTTACCACGGATGCTTCAAAAGTAAATACCCCAAATATTGTCTATTTTCAGGTTGATTTACTCCTAGAATTAATACCTAATTTTTGATTTGTTAAAAGTTAGGTGCTCATTTTTATGCCCTAGAGGAAGGGACAGCGATAAATCTTGGATTTTGATCTTTAGTATTGAACGGTAGATCAAAGAGGTGATTGATGGCTTGGTTGTTTTCTCAAACTTCTCGCAAGAGGAGTTGGAAATGCAGTTATTGTATTATTACATTTTTTACATTCAAGAATAGGAGGAGAAATACTTGATAGAATAAAAAATGGAATACTGCACCACGTGTTATTTTCTAAAATTTTGAATATTATTAAGGTTATGTTATAAATCGTTACCTCTTTCCGGAGAGTGTCGGTGAAGAGTTTACTCATTCATTTGCACAAAATGTCAAGATATATTTTTCAAACTTCGATATCGATTCTTGTGTTTGCACTTGTGGCACACTCGCACAACGATATACGATAAATTGAATGAAACACTTTCCAAGTCACAATAATGAAGCGATTACTGAAGGATTTAACGTTAACTTATCTTAAATTTGGATGTGTTTGAATTAGTCTTTATAAAATTATTCCAGCTACCCTTCTAGTAAACCGTTGTTAAGCTTCGGATTAGTCGCAAAAGCTGAGGGGTTTTATTTTCAAAGGATAATTTAGATTTCGGACGAAAGATCGGATGGAAAGGGTGCTTAATATTCAAAGCAAGCGTAGGTTTCTCGATAAGTTTTCTCTTCAAAATTGAAGTAATGAGACAGGGCGCGCCTCATTCGTGTTTCTAACCCTTACTTTCTCGGCTCGTCACATTTTCGCGAAAGCATTCGTTTTTTAATTAAAAGGAGGCCTCGCTTTCCATAAGTCTCTCGGTATTTCGGAAGTTTCGTACTTTGTTGTAATCATGTCAGAGGATTATTAGGCGAAAATCAGACGATATTGTATTGGTTCAACTGAAATCCAAACTCGGCAAATCTTTTAACTGTTGAAAGATGAATGTTAAGAAAAAGTATGATGAATACAATTTCCAGAAAAAAAACACTAAAGCTTGATCTAAATATTGCAAGTAAACGGAAAAAATTGATTTTTCATTGTAAAATCTACATTGAAACATGCCAGACACTATTTTTGACTACAAAATTGTTAAATCAGCAATTTCGTTTTTTCCGTGTGGCAAGATTCCATAATAGAATTCTATAATAGATTGCATATTATTTTGAGAGAGAGTTATAGCCAAAAAACCCAAAAATTAGAGTTTTAATAAAATTCATTACACCTTAAATTTTTATTTCAAATTTTCGACAAATCGATACTGCGGAAATAACCAGTTTCCTTGTGGTACGCATTATAAGTACGTTGAATTCATCCATAGAGAAGCTATGAGATTTGACTAAAAATTTATTTAAAAAAGGCATTCCTTCTTATATCACTGCATAAGCCATTTACAGTGTATCCTCCGATTAAAATAAAAACTTCCATCATCGGGAAGTTAATGATCTTCCAGCCGACAGCTATGAGCTATGCCTACTCCCTCTTAAACAAAAAGTCTAAATTCCACACGAAATCGCCAAAATTGTCAATGTATGATTATAGGAAATTGCCAACTTGCGATAAAAATTAATTAAAATAGAAGCTTTTGCTGAAAATTGTCACTTTTTTCTTCATTTTTTCTCTCGTGATTTTTACGGTGACCAAATTAGTCACTATGATTTTTAAGTCAAAATTGGACCGAGTTCATCAGAAAGGAACCAACCCACATTTTTGGAAAAAATGAGTTAAGAATGTTTTTAAGTTTCACTAGTCGTTTATTATCTCCTGCCAAAATCTGAAAGTCGAAAAAATTAAATTAGTTTGTGAAAAGAGGGGTTAAAGGTTATTTTCTACATTGAGCACTGGGAGAGAAAGTCGCTTGGATGTAGAGTCCAGACTCTTAATAACATTGACAAGAAAAAATACTCTTGATTCAATCCGATTTTTCCTTGAATCCAAGAGCCGAGTTTCTTGATTTAGGCGGATTTCCTTTTGATTTAAGCCAAAAATCCGATAGAATCAAGGGTATTTTTTCTTGTCAATGTTTTTAAGAGTCTGGACTCTACGTCCAAGCGACTTTTCTTTCCAGTGAGCCTTATACAGGAATAAAACTTCAAACTTCTTCTTCTCAGTTTCAAATGGACGGAGTTAAACAGAAAGGAACCAAGCCACATCGGGATCGAACCCAGAAAAAGAGGTTTAAAGTTTAGCTCCTGCATAGGACTCAATGTAAAAGATAAACTTCAAGTTCAATTTCTGCAAAATTTGCTCCAACAAAAACTTTGAATTTTTGGCGATAGATACTAGAGCAGTGGTTGAGTTCAAAACCACTCATAACTCAATTTTTACCAAAATGTGGGTTGGTTCCTTTCTGCTTAACTCAGTCCAAATGAATGTGGGTTGGTTCTTTTCTGATGAACTCGGTCAAATGTATCGAAAAAATTCCCAGAGAAGGGCTATATGCCGACTCAAGGAGGATTTTTCGGGGCATTGAAGCCAATGGCTCACCCCGTAACTGACCTACATGTCACCGACCGAGTATGAAGTGGTGATGGCGTCCATAAACTCCGGCCTTGATTGATAGAGGTCTTAAGTCTTAACGGTGCACATAATGTTGAGCTGGCCAACGTCCCACCATATTTCACGATGGGCTTTGGTTGATGGCCCGGCATAGCCGCCGCAATATATGACAATCAACACTGTTGTCAGACGCTGGATTTAACAAAAACAGACAAACTCACTTTCCCCTCGCAAGAGATCATGTTCCGCATCCAAAGAAGATTCTGAAAAGACGAAAAGAAAAGAATTCTTACAG